TATTTCTCTATTTTCGACGAGGTCGATTTCGAAGACCTCGTCCCAGTCGAAGCTGTGCTCGCCCGTTCGGATAACTGTTCGCGCTTTGTGAACCCTGTCGCACTCGATGACGCAATACAGGTCACGGAAGTGGTCCCCGTGGGTAGTTGGCTTGAGGCCCCGTCCTGACAGTAGATGGATCCAAAGCAGACCGCTGTAGCCTTTGGGAGCCTCCATCGGTTCTCGAGGGCCCACGCTGATAGGAGTGACCGTCGGCCTAGGCCGATACTTGCTGCAATTAAATTTTACTAAATTTTAAAAACTCAATTATGATTATAAATATTACTAAAACATTTTTTGGGTACTTGCTCTTAACGTACGATGCTATAAAGTTCGGATACACGCAGTTAGATTGCGATGCTGAAAAGTTCTGAAAATTGTAGCTTAAATGTCACATGACTAAAATAATATTTAATGTTGGTATAACCAATAAAATTCCATATTTTAAAGGCTTTCATTTCTTAAAAATTTAATTCTTATTGGAAAACGTTTGCAACGTGAAAATTTAATAAACTGATTTGCTGCACTTAATAGCTTATACATACAAATAGTTTATATATATATATATGCTTTGTAAGCAAAGTTTCAAGCTTGAATTTCATCATTCTGAAGAGGGCATCTTTGGTTTGCTTAATCAAGAACCAATTAAAATGGATTCCATAGCAAAATAAAGGAATTATTCAATAGATCCAAAGATACAAAAGATTTGTTCAATAGTTAGATTGCAACAGATTTTACGATATTTTTTAATGAAGTGAACTTTGCTAAGGAAAGAAGCTGTGTGAAATATGGTAATTGTCTTCAAAAACTTGTAGTGTACGTTTAGAATATTTAAAATAACCGTGAAACAATGTTTTTTCTTGTGCTAACACTTATTGTTTACAACGAAAGGATTACAATTAACTACAGTTAAGCCTTTTGTGCCCTGTTTAGAACGCAGAAATTCAAGATAGAATCTTCTTAAGTGACTACTTAAAGGCGTGAACCAATCGCTTTGGATTGAAGCAATAGCATACAATTAGATTCATTGGCATTTCTTAAAGTTGACGAAATGTGAATCTATTTCACTATTGTATTACAAGAGCTGCTTAAAAAAGTTTTATTTTGATTTAGTACATTCTTCTTACTGTCCTAAAGGAAGTAACATGCTTATAATTAATTTATTATTTCTGAAGTAGAACGTTGTCAGATGATATTCGTATAACCTTATTATTAGGGTTATTAGTGTTATATGCTATAGAATTTGACTTTCTTGAGGAGCATATACTAGTATCAAACTCCTAGCAGACTTGGAGCGAATTATCGCTTGGTCTGAAGTAAGAACAGAGTGCTAAAAAGGTTTAAAACACCCTTTTTATTTAGTAAGAACTAGTATATGTATTTTAAACTAGTATATGTATTAAGTATTTTAAACGCATGTCTTGTGCTTAAGGAACAATTACATTTACGGCAAAGAAACTTAAAAGTAACAGTCCAGGTCAAATTGAAAACTAACCTAGTAGTCAAAGACAATTGATTTTAAATTCTCAATTGACTCAGAACTTCTCACCGATGTAACAATTAAATAACCGCAGCAATAACACAAAGTCGAAGAATTACGTTCTTATCAGAGATAACGAAACATAGTAACGTGGATCGCGAGGCAGAAACTGTCTTACAATCCGAAAAACCTCAGCTTAAATACTATCTAACTAAATTTGCAATCTGATGAAGGAAAGGAAAGGAGAACTGATAATAAAGACTGAAATTATAAATAACTTGTTAGGAAATTGCAATAGGATTGCGGTAATAACCCTATAACGCATGTTATCATTACTTTTTTTCCGTATTCTGACGAAGTCAAACAAGGTCCAAAACACTGCTCTTTCTTAAAGTCGAGAAGAAGAAAGCCATTGGTTTAAATATCCTTTCTCGAGAAGTCCAAACAGACCAAAATATATCCGGCAGAAGGCTGATTTTCTCAGCATTTGGCGCATATTGGAAACGATTTTCATGTCCTCCTTGAAAGAGAAGCACTTAATGTGACCGCTGGCAATATGTGAGAGCGCAGCTTGCGAGTTCCTGTCCCACTCAAGGTCTACAATACATAAACTTACATAATAGAAAAAACATACCAATTTTCCAATTACCAATGTTCACTGGTTTTAACCATTCGGCCGCTGATAAAAACACATTATTTGAACGGTTCGAAAAAACGTATAATGATAAAACAAAACTCGTAAATTTAAAAACTGAGAAAATAAGTACAAATTCTAATTTTTTTATTATTTTATATTCTTTGGGTCAAGTTGACCAGCGACTTTCCGAGGTGAGGATTTTTATTTCTTTAAACATAAATTAAGGTTAAACTTAAATTAACGCACATAAATTAGAGATGCAGAGACTAATATAAGTTAAAGTTCAGTGATAGAAAATGCTGGATAATAATGGAGTTTATCTATCTTCGCGCTTCATATGTTGCATAATACCGCATACGGATGTTGCATTATCGTGCAATATTTTATCTACACAACTAATTCGGACACATGCAGCTTTCATTAGCGATTTTTTATCCTAAGCATTCCTTTTGTCTTAAGCTATTTTAGCAATTATATTTCGTATTCAAAAGCAAATACGAGGTATTACATGCAGCAGATAGTCTTCAGAGATTACACCATAGTTTCAAGAACTTAAATTTTTTAGTTCTAATATCTGTTATAGCAGATTGCAATAGTAACGAAATCTGAACTTACTTGAAGTCCCTGGGGTCCAAGCTGACTAGGTGCAGGCGATCCTCCGAGGGTTTAATGGGCGTGGGGTGGGGGACGGACAACCTGGGTACGTACGTCCCTCCCGCTGGCAGTGAATCTTCACTCGGAGTGTGGAGACGCCGGGGAAATGTGTAGATTCCTCGATACTCATCCTGAAAGATAAAAAATCGCATTTCACATTAAATACTGTCTATAGCGATTAAACATACGATTAGGCATTTTTTATTTAAAGCCTATACTTTGTAGAGACATTAGGATTTTTTTTTTTTTTTGAAAGCAAGAGAGATTGAAAAATATGCAAATGCCTTCACCGGGAATCGAACCCCGGACCTCTGGAATACCAGCCCAGCGTGCAGAGCCACTACACCACGAGGCATGCAAGGAAAGTGGGAGAAATACCTTATATACTCTCCCTTTCTAAAGGCCGACTGGGGATTTAAGGGGACCCAATCGCCAAATTTGGGTGCGGAGAATCATCATTCACAGCACCATTTTAGTTCGGGCGTCATTGTAGAGACATTAGGATTTTTTGAAAGCAAGAGAGATTGAAAAATATGCAAACGCCTTTGCCGGAAATCGAACCACGGACCTCTGGAATACCGGCCCAGCGTTCAGAACCACTACACCACGAAGGCACGCTAGGAAAGTGGGAGAAATACCTTATAACTTACTAAACTTTAAAGGTCTTAAAAAGATTATTGTCGTGTCGTAAATTATATTTCTAGCTTCAAAACAAGTTAGGTTTATGCTGGTTTTCATGTTTTCTAATGTGTAATGATAAACAATTTCTCTCGGCGAGACCTTAAGGGGTATCAGAAACCCCTATACCGACAATGTTAAATTGGCCATTTTCGATGTACCTTTTCTCAAAATCTGCTGTAGATACAAGCTTGAAATATTTTCTGTAATTTAAGTATACCTATCGGATTATACTGAAATGAGCTTCTGAAACATTTTGAATTTTAGAATAAATTACAGGATATTTTGTTAGGGATAGTAAAATTTAGCACTTTTCTCACACAAAAAATTAAAAAATTTTTTTTTCTAAGTTATTACAAAAAGCTCATTTCAGTAAAATATTAGGGAACCTAATAAATAAGCCATTAAAACGTTTAGATACCCCTGTGAGCAGTAGCTCTGAGAAAAGGTACATCGAGATAAAAAAGTCACGTTGGAGGAAAAACGCGTTTTATGTAAAAATCCTCATTGACCAAAGAAGTAGATGACAATTAAAACTAGATTTTTTACAGTTAAATTTTCAAGAGATTAAAGAATGGTATTTTTAGAAAGATAAAAGTGTAGAGAATTTGAAAATGTAAAAATCTGAAATCACAATTTTTTGAAGATTTTGGGGTTCCAACTCCTTTTAACAAAATATTCCTCCTGTTTGACTTTTTGCTATAACAGAAGCTACTGTATTTCACATATCACGAACTCACGTAATTTGATTCGTTTCGTAATTGACTTCTATTATTTTTATTAATGAATACTTTCCATGTGCTCTCCTATTGTATGGTCAATGGCTTCACCTAAACTCGAAGTTTAAATCCAGTTTTCGACAGCAGCACAGTTAATAGTTTTGAAATTGCCTGCTTCAGAAATGACTAATAACACTATAATTGCCGCCGACATTTTTTAGTTCTAATATATGTTACAGCAAATTGCAATAGGAGATTGCAATAGGATTGCAGTAGATTGCAATAGGATTGCAATTTGTTATAGGAAAGGGATTTACATCACGAACTTGATTGACTTAGTTGACTAGTCCCCCCGGGGGGTCGACGTAGAGAACTCTGCGAAGCTACTGGCTAGGATCTGTACCTAGGCAGTCTCGGTCACGGGGGTATAAAATCACGAGCCTGGCGGTTCCAGAGCCCGGGGTTGGGTCATATGTATGGCTGGACCTCGGGGGAAAGGCGTAAGCCGTATACCAGATGGTTCTGTAGCTTGGTGTGGGACGGCACCACGGTGTTGGACGGCACCGAGTTTGCTAGGTAATGTCCTGATGGGACGCGCTGCCCGTGTAGTACTGGTGGGAGCATTTAAACGACGGGTCAAACCGTCAAGTCAATATTTTGCCCATCCGCGGCGAAACCTGAGAGCCGGGAGTGGTGACCCCACGCGCCCAGGCGTACCCGTGGACTTGGAGGAAAATTCAAAAAGTCTGCCACTTCGGATTGGGTCCCCGGAGTTGCAACAACGCGGACTTTCGTTCCTCTCGGGAAAAAGTTGACTGCGATCCTCCCCTTGCCTGATATGGGGGTTTTCAGCTGGGTCCAGTCCGTGTAATACCTAACAGAAGGTGAGGCACGTAAAGATATTAATTAATTAGTCGACTAGTGCCCCCCCCGAAAGCAAGGAATTTTGTCCTAAAGGAAGTAAAAATATTTTTAAAAGATTGCAAAATACGATTAACAATTGAAATAGAAACTAAGAATATGAGATAAATATTTTAATAAGTCTCTGCCTAAGAAAACGGTGAGAAACTCTAATCAAGGCTTAGTAGATACCAAGCAAAAATGTATCGTCACTTACTTGTCGCATGGTGTCCAACAGGGACTCCGCACTATGTGCGATCCTTCCCAATGTAGATGTAGCCTGGTGACCCCGTCTTAGCCTTTCGTATATTGCTGAGGTGGATGGAGCGCGGCTCATCCATGCTTGGTACTCGTTCGATGTGAACACACTCGGTGATCGGCGACTACCGTGAGGAGGTGCTGTAGGGAGAAACATTAATGGTAATTAATGGTAATTACCGACATTACTTGTAAAAAGAGGACCAAATGAAAAAATTGATTTCGGTGATAAAATTAGTATTACATTTTCTACGTTTTAGGAACTCATCATCTTTCACACAAAAATATAAAATTTACAAAAATGAAAGTTTTAGAAATGTGTAGTTTGGCTCTTTTACAAACACAGACTTTGAAACTATTTATATTTTCGTCCTTTAGAAGCACATTAAGCATAAAGAATGGAGAACATTTTTACAAGTCATTACATTTTTATAATGAGTCATTTTATAGAAGGACAGCCACAATTATAATATGATGATATATAATAATATTAAATGCATAATTTTCATATTGTTTAACTTCCGAAGCCACCACGCATAAATACACAAATGGAATAATATTCAAACAATTATTCACTATCCTTAGAAAATTAACAGTTTTAATAAAAAGGGAAAGCTACTAAAATAAAAGCATGGATGCATGGGATTCAGATTTAATTTACCTACTTTACATCTATTAAACCTTTTTCACATCGGGAAGTAAAATGCAAAATTAATTGCATATCCACTTTACGAAGTGAAACATTTCCCAAAATAATAAACCACTTACTACAGAAATAACTCCAATGAATTATTTTGTACTTATTTTTCCATATATGGATCAGGAGAAACATAATTAGAAACTGAAACAAAGCTAGTACCATACACCAGATACGCCAGATGAACATCCCCGCTTTCTAATTATGAGTCAAAATTGCAAAGCGTCAGATAAATTCTTTCGTAACCATATGCAAAGAAGAAAAAGCGAAATTCATTTGAAGTCTTGTTAAATAAGTTGATCTTGCCCAAGAAGAAAATAGTGAAAATTATTACAAGCAATAAGAACTAAAGCTGTAAATAATGGCACTAAAATCCTTAAATAATTTATAGGAAATCTCGATTGCTCACTAAATATAAGCAAATTTTCATGCCCATTTCAAAAGTTTTTCTTTTAAACATAAAGTTTTATACAATAAACAAGTGATTTCTGATCGTTTTCTGTTTGCAAATCTCTTTTCCAATAACATGGAAGTTGTAGATAGCAATTTTTCTTGTAAGTATCCTAACAAAGGCCATAAGCACTGAGCTACTTATGGCTTTCGTTATGTTTTCAAGTGAGTTATTTTGAATATGTTCAGTAGCATAAGTAGTCATTTCAGTAAAAAAACAGAAACGGAATTTAAAGATTTAACACATTAAAATGATGCATATTTAATATATTCTGAATTGGAATTAACATACTCAGCTTTTTTACTTTCATTTCAAAATTTCATATTAATATATTCTGCTTAATCGTTTAGTTGACTGGATTGAATTTGAAAAACTGGAAAACACTTCGATTAAAACAGAGCACTCACAAAAAAGGATGTAAGACATATAAAATGCAGTTCGAAAATACTCATATGATGCTTACTATGAAGCACATGTCCATAGTAATATACGTGATTTGGAATATGAAATACAATTTTTATGCGACACATGACTGTTACTAAAGGAGAAGAAATAAATAATAAATGAAATTTATTAATACGTAAAATGCAATTTTATTATTTAATTATATTAATAAAATATCGGAAATATACGATCTCGAAAAGTGTGCTGAGGATTAATACTTCCGTAATGAAATATTAATACTTCCGTAAAAACAATCTCTGTTAGGGGTCCGCCGATAACGTCGCAGCAAAAACATCGTGGACGAAAATGTCGCGGAGAAAACAACGCAAGGCGAAACGTTCGTACTACAAACATCGTGGGAGAAACATCGCAGCTCTAAAACATCATGTAAAAACATCGTCGTCGAAAATAAAGCGGTTCAAAACTTCGCAGTTTAAAAACATCGTCGTCAAAATATGTGGTAAAAAATAAAGTATCTACAAATCATCGCATGACGATAACATCGCAGACATGCTTTTTTTTCAGGCTTTAATAACTGTAAATGGATATTCCCAATGATTTGTGACGCAAGATATAAAGGGGTAATTTTTACTTTCACGTTTTTTATTAACTAATAAATTTTTGCTGAAAACGTAAGAAAGAAACTTAAGCATAGAAAATTAAATGCAACATATAGATTATACTTTTCATGAAAAATTACCAGTAAAAACTTTATAAAAATGATTTATTAATGGTCTTTGTTAGTTAACTATTTCGGTTTAAAATTTTATTAAGTGCTATAAGTTGCATTACTTTTCTATGCTTAAGTTTCCTTCTTATTTTCTCAGCAAAATTTATTAGTTAATAAAAAATATGAAAGTAAAAATTATCCTTCTTTCCATCTTGCGCTAACAAATCATTATGCGAATATCCATTTACAGTTATTAAAGTCCTGAAAAAAGCGTGTCTACGATGTTATCGTCATGCGATGATTTGTAGATACTTTATTTATTACCACGATATTTTCGACGACGATGTTTTTAAACTGCGAAGTTCTTGAACCGCTATATTTTCGACGACGATGTTTTGTACCACGATGTTTTAGAACGACGATGTTTTTTCTTTGCGATGTTTTCTCCCACGATGTTTTGTAGCGCAACGTTTTCGCCTTGTGTTGTTTTCTCCGCGACGTTTTCGTCCGCGATGTTTTTGCCGCGATGTTTTCGGCTGTAACCCTCTGTTAACTGTGGAATCTTATCAGACTCCTTTTTAATTCAAAAGAGTATTGAAATGTAAGGAACAGTTCTAAAGATAAATTTATATTTTAGTGTTAAAGAATAAAAGTGCCCCAGATGTTTATATCTTTTAAAACTATTATTTCTAATTAACAGAGGGCTTTAATCTTAACCTTGATTTCATTTCCACCAGCAGCTGAAAACAGATTGTTCGTCAGTCTAAGTTCGAAGCAGATTCGAACCCCGTCGAACGGGCTAACCATGTGAAAGCTTTCATGTTTTCCTTAAAATGTCCTCCGTAAAAAGCATCCTAATCCTGGTGAATACCCTCGTGCATGTCCCCATAATCCATACCTAAGAAAAACTTTTTCTCTTGAAAACCTAACTTTTCCCGATATTTATCTAACCTGTTCCATTTAATGGGTTAAAAATTCACTTTACAATTAAGTGAATAAAGTGTAATAATTCCACAGTATCTCTGAAGTAGAACTTCTTAATACATTTTTTATTATAATTATTTTATTAAAAATGATGTTCGCATAACAGTTACACACTTATGCGAAAATAAAGTATGGAAAATCGAAGTATGAAGCAGTCTTATTGTAGTAACTATAAATGAAACCTGGTAGTTTGGACTGTAAAATTACGCATGACTTGTACCTTTAGTTGATAAAGATTTAGAGAAATACTACATGCATTTTGAGCGAAACTATCACACGTTTCTTTTCTTCTATAGACAAAGGAAAGTAGTTTTATCAATGGTGTAATAAAGGTCCGGAATGACTTCATTTAGCTCTAGGTAAGTGTTATATAATTAAATTTTGTTTCTGATAAAGTTTTAACTCAAGATCAGAATAAGTGATTTTTCATCTTTCTAGAGATGAGGGTTAACTCTATTTGCATATAAAATATGAAAGAAAATTAATAACTGATTACTAACTGAATTAAGAGTATACTTTTTAATTCCTGCTTCTAATTTGACCACATCTCAGTCCTGGAATCTGAGTCACTTACGTCATTAATTTCATCTGCAATACTCTGTAATACGAAAGTACTTGTTCCAATCACCGTTTAAAACTGAAACAAAGGATTTTGAGGCTATATAAACCTCAGTTGCTAATATAGATATTCCCCATTCTGTGCAGCAGTCTTCAGTTATTTGCATTAACTTTTGGGGCTTTCAGATCACTTGCGTTTCGCTTGTTGATTTGACTGCCAAGGTGGTATCATCATCATAACCATGAAATAATTTGTATAATTTATTGGTTTGGGAAAGCCCATCACGTGGAGGAGGTATAAAATAGGGCCTAATATAGAACCCTGTGGAACTCCAGCTCTGATTTCTCTTAAATCTCACTGTTCTTTATCAATAGTAACTGTAAATTTCTTCATTTATAAGGAAGGCCACGATTAAAAATATTATTTCATTATGGAAATTCAAGTTTATTAATTTGTAAATTAGTCCTCATGCCAGACACCGTCGAATACTTTCGCCAGTTCCAGCAGGAGCAAAGCAAATTTTTGACGATTACTAAGCTTGCTAGCGCGTCTCTTCATAATCCGTTAATAATATCGCTTTCTACATATATTTGCATAACGTTTCAGTGACAGATTTTCATCTAAATTTCATAATTAATTAAATTTTATTTTTAACTAAATTAATCTAAATTTAATTTCCTTCCGTTCTGTTGTACATTTCTCACACATGAACGTAAATGTGAACTTCAGAACTACGCACTTTCTGTTTTAGGAAGGGTGACTTCGTATGCTACAATTGCTTGGTTGAATGATATAGGACTGTTAAAGTGATAAATTCTGAAAAATTTAAAGGAATAAGATATTTAAAATTTACACGAGTATTAAATTTGTAACTAATATTTTATAACAAATTAGCTAATTTTTTTTAAGAAATTTTCTCTTTGCTTGCAACAGCCGCAATAATATATTACGGTGGTACACTGTCATACGGAAATCCTCACATAATGAAAGTTCCACATAACAAACAAGCACACGGATCTAGAATCGTGCCTCTTAACGAACTCTGTTCCACATTACAAACTGCAAGCGAATTTCGCCGTATATTATTAAAGTGTTAAACGTGAAACTAAATTATTTTAGCTTCTGTTTAAACAACCGAAAATATGATGAAATATGATGAAGTAGCAAGTGAAATTTTTCTTTGATGAAAAGGAGGAAGAAGGAGGCGGGAGCGCAATACAACCACGAAGGCCCTTCTACGGATATGAAGGGATATCCAGGTCTTTAGCTAAGAAGTAGTATTACAATCAAGCTGACGTGAGAGAAGAGTAGCAGCTCTGTTCAATAGTAATGGCAA